GTTGCTGGATCGAATTGCTAAACTGATGACACCCAAGAGCGGCATGGAACCTACCAGTGGTCTCTCTTACAGTTCATCTGGTTCCTCTAGTGGTAATCCACAAACATTCAGGGACATGAAAGATAGTAATGCATCTGAATCTGCAACAGCTTCAGCTTCAAATTCGCAACATGCTAAATCATCTAGAGCACTTGGTCTTAAGAGTGTGCTAGTTGAGAAGACCAATGCTCAAGTTCAACAAGCACCAGGCTGTACTTCAATTGGGGTTCCATCGGTTCTAGTCGGTTCTGGTGGAGAACTCTTGTATCATAAGAAAAGAACTGATGCCCTGAGTAAGGGGAAATCACATGCTCAAAGTATGGGGAAATCTGTCATGTCTTCTTCGGTGCCACCTGTTCCTTCATTTGCTCCTGGTGGCTCTACTCTTGGTTCTGCAAATGGGTATATGCCCTTTGGGTCTATTAGAAAGATTAATGGCGATTCAAGCTCAGCCTTCCCTTCCCCCAGAGGCCCTCCGTCAAGTTCAATTCCGACCTTTGAAACTGATCCAATACTTAACCCTTACACTTCAGTTGCAACCCATGGTTTGCAGAAGGCATTCCCTCCTCCACCTGCCTACAACTACAATCAGTTTAGGTTCAGTAGGCCTTCATTAGTTAATTCATATGGAAATTATCAAGATCCCTACTCATTTGGTTCATACAGTGGGTATGGTACCCCACAGCAGTCGGTTCATAAATGGGTAGAATGTGATGGTGGCTGCGGGGTGACACCGATTGTTGGGCCTCGCTACAAGTCCAATGTGTAAGTATTTTTAGTTACAATTAAATAATTCAGTCCTTCATTCATATCTTATTTTTCATTGGATTTAAAAAAAAAATGTTCTCTTGACATTTTTCTCTTTGCTGGCAGCAAATATAACTATGATCTATGCAGTGCTTGTTTCTATCGCATGGGCAATGAGGCTGAATATGCCAGAATGGACAAGCCACTCTCAGTAAGTGAAAGATTGAGAAACCTGAATAAGGTGACCAGATCAGTCTGTTCATACTCATGATTATATACTTTACGTGAGATAGTAACATAATATTTACACTTACTTCTGTTTGACCATTCTCAGGATAAGAGGTTCCTCCAACTTGACTGCCGTTTCGTCAAGGATCTCACTGTCCCTGATGGAACACGAATGGCGCCATCAACTCCATTTCGTAAGATTTGGTGCATGCTTAACAATGGAAATATTATATGGCCTTATGGAACCCACCTTGCCTGGGTTGGTGGAGATCAATTTGCTCGCCAAAGCTTAGTGAAATTAGCGGTACTTCCCAACCACATATAATTTATTTGCTAATATGTTCTGGATGTGAGATTTACATGGATGCATCTCAGACCATAATAAAGTCTTAACTTATGTTTGAACTTCTCAGATTCCAGAGGCTGGTTTCCCCTTGAATGGAGAAATCGATGTTTGTGTTGACTTTGTTTCACCTGCGAAACCTGGTAGGTACATATCGTACTGGAGACTAACATCGCCAGACCTACAGAAATTTGGTCAGCAAGTTTGGGTTCTTATTGAGGTTTTTACTCCGCCATCACTTGCTCCTCTCCTTGTAAGCCTTGATGTTCCTCCCCTCATGACCTTCCGCATGCTGATATCGTGTGCAGGTGGAAGAGCCTGTTCAAGCCAGTGGTGACAATCAAACTGCTGCAATAGACTTGAACTTGCCTGCAGTCAGCAACCCTGCAACATCGAGGCCATCCATTGTATAGCCTCATTAGACTGTAGAATTCTCTTCCGCAAGTGGCCACATGGTTTGTTTACACATCTGATCATTTGCCTGCTAAATTCGTGTGCAGGTGCAACAGCCTGTCCAGACCAGTGGCAATAAGGGAACTGCTGCAGTGAACTTCTTGAGCTTGCCTGCAGAAGGCAGCACCGCAACCTGGACCTCAGATTCTGCATCTGACTCTGACGATGATGGCATACCTCTGCGTGAGGTGCTTGCCACGCTGAGACGAAAGGGACCCAAAGCGGTTGGAAGTGTTGTGCCCTCTGCACCAGCAGCAGATGAACCAGTTCAAGTACCCATCGCTTATCCCCAGGCAGCAGATGAACCAGTTCAAGTACCCATCGCTTATACCCAGGCAGCAGATGAACCAGTTCAAGTACCCGTCATTTATCCCCACGCCTCATCTGCTGAAGCTCTAGGGATGCCTACAGGTGTGGCGGCACCTGAAGCCGCACCACTGCCGGAACCCATGAGTGTGCCGGAACCTCTACCGGCACCTACTCTTGTCAGTTCACATGTCGCTCCTGTTAGCATGCCTTCGCCTGATGAAACCATCAACAATAACATGGAGGAGAAGCTTCTGAGGGAACTGGCGGACATGGGCTTCAGGCAGGTTGACCTGAACACGGAGGTACTTCGGCAGAATGAGTATGATCTGCAGAAGTCGGTCGATGACCTGTGCGGCTTCCATGAGTGGGACCCACTCCTTGCGGAGCTGAAGGAACTGGTATGCGCCACTTCTCATCCTGTGTAGCGCGAGAATATCATCTTAATTTAGGATCCTTCTTAATTCTCAACTCTTATAGGGTTTTGATGATTGACACAGATGTAGAAGGAGTGCTCGAGCAAGAAGCATGAAGTTCCATGAAGCGTGTGGCGATGGATCTTCTGTCCAGAGAGAAGGACCGGTGATGGCCTCCTGCGCTCATCTGCTGGAGCGCTGCTGCCTAGTAGACCTAGATATAGATAAAGTAGTACTAGTATAATGTAATGCAGGAATAACCAGACGAACTGAAGTGATGTTGCATGATGCAGTGCACTGCAGCCGCGCAGTAGTAGTAGCAGCCAGTAAGCAGGACCATAATAGTCCGGCGCTCCGGCGTGTGGTCGCTCGTGCACCGTGGTTTTTCTTTCGTGTAAGCAGGGTACCTTATCAGGCGAACTGCTAGTATGGTCTATGAGTTCTGTTTATTATATCTGTCGCTCGTGTGCTTCTCAATCAGATGGTTGCTGTGCTCTTCTATCAGAGTCTGATTCAGAGATGTGGTTCTCATAAACTGATTGTTGGTTAGAGCTTATTTTCGTTCTGGTCCCAGGTATTCCAAGTTTCCAACAATGGTTGATTGTATGAAGGAAGAGCGACTGCAAACAGGCAAGAAAGTGTACTGATTTTCGCTTCTTCTGCCCTGAGAACTGTGCAAGTGACATTTAGGCAGCTAAAAACACTGTAACCTGATGTTTCATGTCAGCATAGTCTCCTAGAAACTTATATTTCACATTATGCAAAAAAATATTTATTTTTAAAACGAAGGCAAAAGATTTATCTCATCTCATTAAATAAGAAGGTGAGAACAAAGTCTGTTTGTTACATGACCACAAAAAAACACACACAAAGGGATTGATTGACGCAACATCCTAACTGGCAAAATCCTATCCAGAAACTTTGGCCCTACAAGTACCGAGAGTTTCCCCTCCGCCTTGATTGACGCAACAACGTGTGTGGGCAAAGAGGCCTTGTTGTGAAACACTCTCATATTTCTCTCAGAGTGGCCAACAGACTAAACATCTCATATTTCTCTCAGAGTGGCCAACAGACTAAACATCTTCAAAGAATTATAGGCCTTCCTGTTGACTCGTACCAGACTACCACGTTCGTTCCACCATGCTGCCACTGATGAGAGTGTGGACCAGGCGTTAACCTGTGATTGCATCCCCAGCCATGCGTTGATCACTTCCTAAATCCTAGCAGAGTAGCGGCATTTGAAGATTAGATGCGCCGTCGTTCTTGGTTCTCTTTTGCACAACTGACAAAGACCACAGTTTGGTCAATGGCTATGCCGTCCAATCTTGCAGAATGAGCCATGAGAAAAATCTGATTTTCGGCGAAGCCCATATTTTCTAGACCATCCATCCTTGGCATGTCCGGCTATCAATCCTGCGAATTGCAATTGCACTCTGTAAGCCAGCCGCGGCGACAGAGTAGCACCCATTCGCAGTGAATTTTCATCGAATGATATCCTTTGTTCCAACCACTAGCTCCACCTCCTGAACCTTGGTCCATAAGTTGTTAGTCTGTTGGGCACTTTGGAATGAGAGGAATGCGTGTCACAAGCATTACAGTTTAGCACAACTGTTCGGAATTCGTGTGATGCAGGTCACCTGATGCCCGAAGTTGTTGTTCCTAAGCAATTACTCCCTCCGTTCTCAAATACAAGCCTTTCTAGAGATTTCAACAAGTAACTACATACGGAGCAAAATGAATGAATCTACACTCTACATACATCCGTATGCTGTTGTCCATTTAAAATGTCTAAGAAGACTTATACTCCATCCGTTCCAAATTACTCGTCGCAAAAATGGATGTATCTAGATAAAATACATCTAAATACATCCATACCTACGACAAGTAATTCGGAACAGAGGGAGTATTTAGGAACGGAGGGAGTATAAGATGTTTTTGCATTGAACTACAAACTCTGTAACTAAGTATAAGATGTTTTTGCATTGAACTAGAAAAACACCTTATATTTAGTTACATAGGTAGTACGTTTAGTTTTCAAAAGCCGAAAAAAATTACTGTATGACTTCACAAATTGAGGGCATTCGGGAATGACAGGGTTGAAGTTTGTTCTCACAAACAAAACCTGGCAAGTTTCTAAAGCTTTGTGGCATCTTAGCAAGACAGATAGTTTGCAGTAACACATGTAGCTTCAGCAAACAAAATGCATAATTTCTGTTGCAAACAGTCTAATAATAAAGCGAGTATACCGAGTTTCAGCCCTATTATTATTATACAGTAACACAACCAGGGCCTTCGATGGAAATGACCCTCAAATGGAGTTAAAATGGGAAAATAAACGCCAAAGCCTGCAGAGGGCAGGTGCTTGTAAGGTCCAGAGTCAACAGGAACGCAAAATGATTCCCAGGTCGAGAGTTCCGTAAACTTGGTATATACATACGCGATACTCGATCGCCTCTGAAACTGAGGTTTCAGAACTGCTGGTCGAGGATCGAGTCTTTCTCCGACTTGGTCTGGCCACCACTGACATAGCCCACAAGGCTCCCCCCAACGTCCGAGACCCATGAGACGCTGCGCGCCAGCCAAGCCTTGGGAGTCGACGCCTGCGGGCTCTCTGCTGCTGCTGCTGCCGCCATGCTCCTCTGTTCTTCCTCGAGCAACGCATCAAGCCACCTCTTTGACATGTACTCTTTCACAGCGTCTACACCTTCCTTCACGACCTCCGCTGGTGGCATGGACAGAGGGTTCTGCTCCAGGTTAAGCTTCTCCAGCTTGTCAAGCCGGCCAAAACTGTCGGGAAGAGCATGGATCTGGTTGTTGCTGAGGTCAACCTCCCGCAGGTTCAGCAGGTCACCGAATGAGAAAGGGAGCTCCTTCATGTCGCTGAAGTTGCTGCTCAGGTCGAGGATTTCAAGGCTGGAAAGCTTCCCTATGGCAGATGGCAGACCGCATAGTTCATTGAAATGAGCATCCAGGACGTATAGTGATTGCATCTCACAGATAGATGATGGAAGAGATCGCAACTTGTTCATGTGAACCCAGAGCTTTCGCAGATTAATCAGTTCATAGCCAATATTTGTTGGCAGATATGTGAGCCCATTGTAGCTTGCATCAAGCTCAACTAGCGACCTGGAGGGTGAACTATCTATCAGTCTCTTGAATAGTGAATACAGCTAATTAACAAACGCAAGGGGAACTTTAGGAGTAGTATCTACCTGCACTTTGAGATGCTGTCTGGCAGTGTTCTCAGCTTGTTAGTCGACACATTCAGAATCTTCAGATTGGACAAAAATCCAACAGTATCAGGAAGAGAAACCAAGGCATTAGAAGCAAGACGGAGCTCTTCAAGATGTTCAAGCCCTCCTATAGCATCTGGAATAACCTACAAGCACAGTGAAATCCCAAAATTAGGGAACAACAGTACAATATTGTATCTAACAAGCCATAGAGCAGCCTTGCAGTTGTTGAGGAATTATAACCTGATAAACAGATCTGAGTTTTTAGGGCCACGAAAGAAAATCAGCATTTTATAGCTAGCACATCTCATGTCTGCTGTTAAATGATTATGATGGATCATGAAGCTCAAAATAAACCATATAAATCAGACATAAACATCTCTTACCAGTAGCAGCAAGCAATATGAAAGTACTAATTCTCCCTACTTTAATCGATGATTCTCCAAATTTCTAACCCAAGCAAGATTTCCAGGAAATCAAGCTAAGCTAAACTTACCTCATAACTCCTACCAATTTGATATTCTACTTTGTAGAACTGTATGAACCCAAAGTACTACTTGTAACCCTCGATGAGTCAACACTAGTGTTTGCATAGCCTAAACCAAAGCGACAATCAAACCAAAGCATCCTTTCAGAAACAAAAATAGTACTTCAACGCGTCCTTGCATAACTTTTAGCATTTTCTCCATCCAAATTCTGCCTTCAGCAGCACATCCTTAACACATAAGGCGGGATAACAAATAAATCTGCCAAAATAATAGAATACAGACTGGCCCTCATACCTGATCCTAATTGACAAGTGACAAATAAGTGCTAGTATACAGACCCACTCTTCGTACCAGGCATATCAGAACTCACAAATCTAGCATCCTTACTGATAAATCAGTACCCAAACTATTTAGCACATAGAGTAATTCGAAGCATCCACTCAGTCCGAAAAGACAGCCTAATATGCGCTCACAGTGGCAGAAAAATGCCTAATCCTAGACAAACACACCAGAACTGAAGTGTTTTGTGCGTGTGGCTCATCCATGAATATGTTACCATATAGTACTACATGGGCTCTAAATAAACAGATCTAATCTAAAGATATGGGATGACATGCTTCTCACCTGGAGCTGGTTGTGTGATACGTCAAGCACGCGGAGTCCCAGGATCCTTCCGAACGCCTCGGGCAGGTAGCGCAGCTGCCGATCCACGAGGAGCACGCTCTCCACCGGCTTGCCCTCCTGGGCCTGCTTCAGCACGGCGACGACTTCCTCCTGCACCGCCACCTCATCAGCGCCCGCCGCCGATTCATCCTTCCCCTCGGCCTCCTCCAGGTCCCTGCCCTCCATCGCCGACCGGTAGACCTTCTCGAGCCTCCCCTCGGCCTCGTGCAGCAGCGCCTCGTAGGTGTCGTGGGCCTCCTCGAGCCGCACCACGGTGCGGCACGCCTCGAGGTCCTCCTCGGTGACCCGCGGGGCGACGTCGCCGGCGGCGGCGGCGGCGACGACGGCGCGGGAGGAGTCGACGAGCTCGTGGTCGGGGCGCGGGCCCAGCTCCTGCAGCGCGGAGCGGGCGGCGGAGACGTCGGCGACGGCGCGGGTCATGGCGTGGAGCACGGAGGCGTGGCGGAGGCCCGGCATCCGCTCGACGAGCTCGAACTCGCCGACGGAGGGCGAGCGCGGGGACGGCGTGTGGACCGGCGGCTGCTCGATGTCGAAGTCGGCCCCGGCGGCGGGCCTGGGCTTGGAGAGGGTGGGGAGGCGGGAGAGCACGTAGGAGAGGATCGGGTGGGACTGCGGCGCCGGATCCATGGCGGGCGGGGGAGGTGGGAGGCGGAGATCGGAGAACTGATGCTGTTTTATGGTGGGCTTGGGAAAGTGGAGGGCGATGGGGAGCTGGACTGGAGGGTGCAGTCGGAACCTGCCTGGGGCGGCCGGCCGGCAGATCCCTGGGGATTATTTGGGTCAGGGGATATCTATCCGATCCAAATCTGATCCAGGGTGACAATTCGTTTACTGCTGATGAACGGCTTCTTCTGCTTCTGGTTCAAGAAACAGTCATTTGTTTCTTGAACGCTCACGCATATTTTTTTTTCTTTTTCTGCAAGTCAACATTCACTGATTGGCTCAAGCACTGAACACAATTTTCCTACCCCAAAAGACCTCAATAATCTTGCCTCTCGTCACAACATGACTTTTTCTCTCCTGCGAAGAAAAAAAACTGCTCTTTCTTCTCTAATGATATATCCGGGCCTGCTATGCCCCTGCCAGCTGATCTTTTCAGCCGGGTTGTGAGCCGTCAGACCTAGCGCATTGAGTGGTCGAGTGACACCTTCACCATTGCAACACAGGTCTTGTTGCAAAAATTTTGCAACAAAAGTCCAGTTGCAGAAAAGTTTTGCAACAAAGGTCCTATCGCAGAAAAAAAAATTACAACAAAAATCTTGTTGCAGTTTTTTTTTGCAACAAAGGGATTGTTACAGATTTTTTTGCAACAAAGCTCTTGTTGTAGAATTTTTTTTGCAACAACGAGCTTGTTGCGGGAAAACACCCGAGAGAGAGAATCAGAGAGAGGGCCATGGGCGGGGAGAGAGAGAGAGAGAGAGAGAGGAGGAGGGAAGGAGAAAGGGGCTTGCAGTAGAGTGCCCACGGGAGATTGTCCGGGGGAGAAAGGGGGTCGGTGGCGGCGTCCTCCGTCGGGGCGGAGATCGTGCGCGTCTGTTGCGTGGTTGAGTGGTGGCAGCTCTAGATGAGAGTCGGGAGGGAGAAAGTGAAGATTGGCTGCTATTGAGAAACAAGTGATTGGCTGCTGAGAGAGAAGAGCGGCGAGATAGATTTTCTGGAGACAAACGCCTGAGGAGATAAGGTTCAGCAACGATGTGTGACTCACAGGGACACGCGTCGACCAGCCAAAGCGGTCGACGCACAGGTTGTAATCAGCCAACTGACATGAAGCTTTTCCCTAATATATCGGTCCCTCTATTATCCTTCTTTTGAATTCGATTATTTCCCACCTTTCTTCCGATTTCAGTGTCTCGTTTTGTCCATCATCTCTACCCAGTGAAACTAATAGTACATGTGACATTGTCGACCAATAGTTATTTGCCCTTCTTCTTCAATCCCATGGCTAGCTATACTACGGGTGTCATCCATGGTCGTCACCCTCCTCTATTGTTGAAGAACAACTGACTTAGATAAAATGCAACATGCTATCGAGCAGTCAAGATCATAGATCACATCGCAAACTTGTTATCATGTTGTGACATGTTGAACAACTATGCATAAAAACATGCTGACCCAAGTCAGATAGACAAGAGTTCTAAGGTTCTCTGCAATTAGGGTGAAAACAAAGTGGAAACAAATGGAAGTGAGTGTTACCACATTTTTTTCATATTCTTTTGCAGAAGCGGAAATGAATATAAAATTATAAATACATATACGGGTGCAAATAAACATAAAGCCAATATGACGCTGACACAATTTCAGAAGCAAATTATTGTTGGAATTCTTGAATCATGAAGAAAAACACAAGCAAAACCAATGAACTTGTTTATAATTGCTAAAATGACTATGAATATTACGTTGTATCACGGTGCATTGTCAATTCATCAGAGATAAGATGACTACCGGACATGAAATACCAAATGAATTGCTCACTGCCTAGATCCTACATGGCCAGAATTGACACCAAAATTGCAGGGTGGAGACTCGAGCACTTAAACCCATTTATCATCGGCATTTAAGCAGTGAAAGGATCCGATGAGGGAAGGACAGCACATACGAAATGAGCCAACGAAGGAAGGGTGGAACACATGCTATCACTCCATTGTGGACTGGTGGGACTTCCGTCAGCATAGGGCGTCGGTGTCGAAGGGCATTAACAGACGAGTCATAAGTGTCAAAGGGGCTTCTTTGGTGGCGGACAATGATGAACACATACCCTGAGGGGGGAAAGAGGCCGAGGGACAAGGTTCTTAGCCGGCGGAGGACTGCGAGAAAAAGGGTCGATGACATAAGAGGGGGCTTCTTCGGTGGCAGATAATGACGGGTAGAGTCGCGGAATGAGGGATAAGTCGCGTTGTCTGGGTGACAAGGGACGTCGTCGGTGGACGACCTATAGAGTACACGCTTAGAAAGGGCGAAGGGAAACCCTTAGATGGATGGAGGATACATTAGGACACCAACATTGTCGTGCCAGTTTTAAGGCATGTTTTTGTCACCCGAGTACAGATGCGTACTAGCATGCGATTTGACATTCAACCTAGTAAGGAACTAACTAGGGAAGAATGACAAAGAGATTTTGCTTAGGTGTTTCACTGTTTTTATAAAACCACACATAAGTTCACCTAGTGAGGCACTGATTACGGGAGAAGGACAAAGAGATAATGTTTAGGCGTTCCAATGTTTCTATAAAATTATGCAATCTACGCCATAAAATGTATCGACCATCGGTCTTTGCTATCTAACAGATTCAATAGATGGTCATGCATTGTCTTCGGAAAAAGGAGCCACCTATACATGATGTGACGCCCCCGATTCAATCGTACACTAATCATACACGCAAACGTGTACGATCAAGATCAGTGTAACGCCCTAGATATAACTTTCTCAATTTGTACTCTGACTCTTGCCGTTTCCGGCGTTAAGTTATATTTATTTCTCGGGTTCGGGTCTTTGTCTCCGTGTGTTGTTTTGTTGTCATGCATTTCATATCATGTCATCATGTGCATTGCATTCACATACGTGTTCATCTCATGCATCCGAGCATTTTCCCCGTTGTCCGTTTTGCATTTCGGCGCTCCGTTCTCCTCCGGTGGTCGTTTCTAGCTTTCTTTCTTGTGTGGGGATTAAACATTTCCGGATTGGACCGAGACTTGCCAAGCGGCCTTGGTTTACTACCGGTAGACCGCCTGTCAAGTTTCGTACTATTTGGATTTCGTTTGATACTCCAATGGTTAACCGAGGGACCGAAAAGGCCTCGTGTGTGTTGCAGCCCAACACCCCTCCAATTTGGCCCAAAACCCACCAAACTCTGCTCCATCTCTTAGAGCGTTCGATCACTCGCGTGGCCGAAAACCGCACCTCATTTGGACTCTCCTAGCTCCCTCTATGCCTATATATACACCCCCTCCAAAAATTCGCGGTTCAATCCACCCCTAACCCTAGAAAAAGAGATCTCCGCGCGGCCGGACGTGTCCGCCCGCCGCCGGACGAAAATCCCGCCGTCCGCCGCCCGCCCGGTCCACTCGCGTGCCGCCACGTGGCAAGTCGCCGCCACCACCGCCCGCGGCCCGGCCGGCCCGCGGTAGGCCCTCTTCTCCCGCGACCGGGCCCCGCCTCTTCCTCCCTCGCGCGCGCCCCGCGCCGCCGTCGTCCCCACGCCCGGCCGCCGCCGCCCCGATCCGCCGCCGCCGCCCCGGAACCTCGCCGTCGGGCGCCGCCCCGATTCGCCGCCGCCGCCTCGGATCCTCGCTGCCCCGCGTCCCTGTGGCCGGATCCGGTCCCCGGGGAGCTCCACCGCCTCCTCCACGCCTTCTCCGGCCACCTCCGGCCACCTCCGACGAACTCCGGCGCTGGCCATCCTCGGGAAATGCGCTCCGGTGAACAGTGCATCGGGCCGGATCTCAGATCTGAAAAACCCTAGCGGTTGACTTTTTCCCCTCTCCTCCTAATTTTTTATGCATACTTTGACCTGTGATATCTCCGCATCCGTAGATCCGATTTGGGCATATAACATATCAAAATATTCGTCTCGATGAGTAAATCATTTCATTCCATTGCATCATTTTCATTTGAGTGCATCTTGATGCCCGAAATGCTGTTAGAAGGAGGCTTCGTGAGTTAATTGTCAGATCTGCTAGTTCATCTTAGACTTTTGTCATTTTTGCCATGATTATTGTGTGCATGATATGCCTGTGAGTCCTACATATGTTTTGTTAAGGATTTTGTTATCTTTCCAGAGGTGCAATCCATGCATTTTTGTGATGTGTGTGGTGACTTGTGCAAGCTTGCAAAGTGAGGCACCCGGTGAATCTGTTTTCAGGGACTTGGTAGTTTTCACTAAGTCTGGGATTATTTAGTTCATGATGCCAAATGTCCATGCTGTTTCCTAGTGATCCGTGCCTCTTTTGAGGATGATCAGTAAAGGAGTTTTGTTAATCTTGTTATGCTCTATCCATCCATGTCTTTGTTTGCAATTATGGAGCACCCTAGCTTGAGTCAATCGAGCTCTACTTTTGCTTTGTTGCGAATCTGGGCAGATCGTCAACTTGTTTGCGATTTTGCCGATGTTGTTGTAGTTGATCCGTGCATGCTATGCCATTGTTCTTGCTAGGTCTAGCTTGTATCTTGTGCCTTCTTAAGGGATGTATGCTTGTCTTGCCATGACTTGCACCGTAGTGAGTGCATCGAGCTCGTAAACATGCCTTCGTGAGTTATGTTTCAGCATGTCCCAGTTTTCACTAAGTCTGAAAACTGATTATGTTTTTGCTATGTTCGTGTGCTTGTTAGTATATTTTGTGATCCCTTTTGGCTCAAGGTCACTAAGGGACTTTTGTTAAGCTTGTTGAGTGGCTCCATGTCATGTCTTTCTTTGTCATGTTCAGGTCCTGTAGCATGTTATTTTGTTGCTCCGAAGAGGGCTATATGATCTGAAATTCCAGACAAGTGTTAATTTCACTAAGTCTGAGATCTGTTTTACCATTTGCGTTTTTGCCATGCTTGTTTGAACCTCCTAATGGATGAATTGGCCGTAGCTCAGTGCTATTTGTTAAGCATCTTGTGTGCATCCCTGCCATGTATTTTGTTGTCAT